CCTTAATGAAGATGGGCTAGGCATGGAGAAATCACCATGGGATAGAACATGAACCATAAAAGTAGCAAGAATGGTAAGCCATAACACCTAGGACTAGAGGCAAGGGAAGGAAGCAGTAATTAGGACACAGAGAGAGTAGGTGCATGGAGAAAGACTGACTAGCCTGGCAGGGCGCTGGCAACGTGGCAAAGAGTGAGCTAGAAGGAAAAATGATTTGATTTTAAATCTAAGACCTAATTCGTAGTTCTCAACAAAATCTGTTCTAATTTCCAACTGGAGAAAATAAGGTTTACTCTAATTATGAAACCATGGCTGTAATTCATCCATCCATAAATACATATAAATATTTTTTCCGTGAATTTTCTTTAAGTGCTTTACTCTATATATGTCAAACCAGCCACAAAATATAGATATATAAAATTAGAGTAAGAAAATTACTATAAGTCAAAAGAAAACAAAATGAAATTAAGGTGTCATAAAGATATGAATTACAAATATAAAACTGTGATTACAAAGGGTGCTACATTTTTTCTGAATATATGTTTTAAAACCCACAACTTTCTGTTTACTATCTTTTACATACAATTATCATTCTGTATCAAAACACTGAAGTCTCCAATTAAATTATTATTAGTTTTCTAGCATAATTTCTGTGAGAACTATAAAAGGATACAGTCACTTTAGAAAGCAAAATGTTAGGGCGGCGCCTGTGGCTCAGTGGGTAGGGCGATGGCCCCAAATACTGAGGGTGGCGGGTTCGAACGCAGCCCCGGCCAAACTGCAACCACTAGCCAGGCATAGTGGTGGGCACCTGTAGTCCCAGCTACTTGGGGGGCTGAGGCAAGAGAGTCACTTAAGCCCAAGAATTGGAGGTTGCTGTGTGCTGTGATGCCACAGCACTCTACCAAAGGTGAGAAAGTGAGACTCTGTCTCAAAAAAAAAAAAAAAAAAAAAGCTAAACATAAGAGTTACCACATGATCCAGCAATTCTAATCCTAAATATTTACCTAAGAGAAATGAAAACATAACACCCATACAAACACATGTAAATGAACATTTATAGAAGTATTACTTACAATAACCCCAAAGTGCAAACAACCCAAATGTCCATTAACTTACAAATGGATAAACTGTGCTATATTTAAACAATGGAAATAAAAAGTAACTTAAGTACTAAAACATGCTTCAACACAACACAAAAGTACCTCAAAAGCATGCAAAATTTAAGAAGTTAGACATGAAAACCCCACGTTATACAATTCTATTTGTATGAAAAGTCCAGAATAGGCACATTTATAGTAATAGGAGTAGATTTGTGATTACCTAGCATAAAGCTGGGGGAGAGAGGAAAAGGGAAGTGACTGGTAATAAGAACAAAGATTTCTTTTGGGAAGATGGAAACGTTCCAAATCAGTTTGTGGTAGCAATGGCACAAATCTGTATCTATACTAAACATCATGGAAGTGTATACTTAAAACGTTAATTTTATTGTATATAAAGTATAGTTCAAAACTATTTCTAAAACTTAGGATCAGTTTTATTTGTTCCTTTCCAGCTGTGTGCTTGCTTCTACTTAGTTTAATAATTAAAACCAACAATGCAAATAATTTTCCTATTAGACCAGTAAATATACACCTTTGTTTTTATATCAATTAATTTCATAAGATCACAGAACAGAACTTGTCTTAAAATATTTTTACAGCAAAATATACAGCTATTCCTGCCACCCTAAAACTCAGAGCCCTAAAGAACCATAATTTATTATTTCTCGTATCTGTAGACTGGCTGAAGAATGGCTGCTCCAGGTTAGGCTCAACTGGGTTCACTCAGGAGTACCTGGCTAACAGAATCTGACCCAGAGCTGGGGGTAACTCTCTTACAGATGTCTCTCATCCTTCTCTTGAGACCAATAAGCTGCCACATATTCATGTGGTATAGTAAATGTGCAAGACAGCAAGCAGATATACTTATCCCACTGGTGAAAGCAAGTGGTTAAACTCAAAGTCTAAAAGAAGTCCACTCAACCCACAATAGGAGGATCCTAAAAAATTATATGGTAAAATGCTCTGAAGGGAGTGGTTGAAATATGAGGTCTGTTATAGAAACTAATACAAATTTTAATTATTTTAATTTAAACACATGTTGGTAGGTATTTTCTTTGGGTGTATCAGGCTTCGATGCTATCAATTCTACCTCGTAATTATCACTTAAATGAATCTCTCTTGTCTATTTTACCATTGCTGCTGCTTTACTTTAGGGATTCCTTACTTAGACTAATGTGGTGTTTTCCTTGCCACTAGTCTCAGTTCTTTCTTATCTATTACAGGTATATCTCATTTTATTGTGCTTTGTTCTCTTGTGCTTTGCAGATACTGTGTTTTTTATAATTAAAGGTTGTGGCAACCATTTGGTAGATAAGTCTAAGGGTGCTATTTTTCCAAGAGTATACACTCACTTCAAAGTCTGTCTCACATGTTAGTAATTCTCAACAGTATTTTAAACTTTTCATTATTACTGTATCTGCTACAATGATCAGTGATCATTAACCTTTGATATTACTCCTGTAATTGTTTTGGGGCACCATGAACTGCTGCCACAAGACAGCGAACTTCAGTGATAAATGGTGTATATGTGTTCCAACTGTTCAACAGACCATTTCCCTGTCTCTTATTTTCTCAGGCTTCCCTATTCCCTAAGACACAACAATATTAATTTCAGGCTAATGAATAACCCTAAATGGTGTCTAAATGTTTGAGTGAAAGGAAGAGTCACATGTGTCTCATTTTAAATCAGAAGTGAGAAATGATTAAGATTAGGGTAGAGGGCATGTCAAAAGCCAGACAGCCTACTCTTACTGTCAGTAAGCGAAGTGTGAATGCAAAGGAAAAGGTCTTGAAGAATATTAGAAGTGGACATGCACTTTTGTGAAATAAAGTGAAAATGTTTTATTGCTAATATGGAGAAAATTTTAGTGGTCTGAATAAAAGATCAAACCAGCCACAACATTTCAGTAAGCCAAAGCCTAATACCAGAGCAAGTCCTAAATGACTTCAATTCTACAAAGGGTGAGAGAGGTTAGGATATGGCAAAAGGAAAGTTGGAAACCAGCAAAGATTGGTTCATGAGGTTTAAGGAAAGAAGGCATCTCTATAAACAAAAAAGTGCAAGGTGCAGTAACAAGTACTGATAAAGAAGCTGCAGCACGTTATCTAGAAGATCTTGCAAAGAGAACTGATAAGATTGGCTATCCTTAACAATAGATTTTCATCATAGATGAAACAGCATCTATTGGAAGATGCCATATAGGAGTTTCACAGCTACACAGAAGTCAATGCCTGGCTTTAGAGCATCAAAGAATAGGCTAATTCTATTGTTAGAAGTTAATGCAGCTGGTGACATCACATTGAATTGTGTGCAATGCATATTTTCCATTCTGAAAATCACAGGGCCCCTAAGAATTATGCTAAGTCTACTTTGTCTCTGCTATATAAATGCAACAATTCCTGAATAACAGCACATCTATTTATAGCATAGTTAACTACTTAACTAAGGCAACTTTTATTATCATAGTTGGCCTAAAAGCAGCCATCAATTAAGATAGCATTCAACCTCAACACTAAACATTTTTCCTTTATCTCAAACCTGAAGACCTAACTCCTATTAACCACACTGGACTGATCTATCAACTAATAGAAGCAATAATGTTAAGATAAGTAACAAGAATAACATTCTTCCTGCACAAGTCTACATCAGACAGGATGCCCACTGATAGTTATCCAACAAACAAGACTATTTATGTTAACTATTATCTCAAAAATCTGTGTTAACACAACACAAGTGTGTGCCAAGGAAAAGATTAAAATAAGTAAAAGGAATGTGGCAAAAATAAAACCTGTCTGTTCACCTAATAAAACATGACCTCCAGCATCAACAGGCTGCCCAGGGATACACATTCAATGGCCACTGTATCCTGACTGTGCAAAGGTAACATAATCACTTGTTCTTTAATGAAGGATTTGAATGAATCACCACATGAGGGTTTAACTGTCTATAACTTCCGATCAGTGAAATTGACCTCTTCAAGAAGTGAAAATATAGCAAAACGAGAAGACCCTATGGAGCTTAAATTTAAAATCTAAGTTACTCAAAACTTATCCTAAAATCAAGGGAAATAATACTCAAACTATCAGATTAACAACTGTGGTTGGGGTGACCTCAGAATATAATATAATCTCCAAAATGTTATCTACTTAGACCTAACCAGTCACAGTAAATCTATAACCATACCTCACTGACCCCAAATATTTGATCAATAGATCAAGTTACCCTAGGGATAACAGCACAATCCTGCTTTAGAGTTCATATCAACAACATGGTTTACAACCTCGATGTTAGATCAGGACATCCCAATGGTGCAACCACTATTAATGGTTTGTTTGTTCAATGATTAAAGTCTATGTTATCTGAGCTCACACCAGAGAAATCAAGGTCTGAGGACAAGAGAAATAGAGCCAACTCTTGAAAAATGTTCTCAACCTAATAGATGAAATCATCTTAATCTAATACATTTTCCCACTGCCCTGCCCAAGAACAGGGTTGGTTAAGATGGTAGAGCCTGGTAATTGTATAAAACTTAAAATTTACAAATCAGAGGTTCAACTCCTCTTCTTAACACATGTTTTAACCAACCTCTTCTTACTTGTTGTTCCTAGTATTTTAGCTATAGCTTTTCTGATACTTACAGATTGAAAAATCTTAGGCTACATACAACTCCATAAAGGACCCAACATTATAGGGCCCCATGGACTCTTCCAACCCTTTGGTAATGTAATATAAGTATTCATTAAAGAACCCTTACAGTTCCTAACATCTTCAACACTCCTATCTACAACTGCACCAACTTTAGCCTTATCCCTCGCCCTTATTATGTGAACCCCCTTGTGCCTCACCCCCTAGTAAATGTAAACAAAGGATTCCTATTTATCCTAGCCACATCAAACCTAGATGTATATTCACTTCTATGATCAGGATGAGCATCCAACTCAACATATGCACTAACTACAGCACTATGAGCAGTAATACGAACCACTTCATAAGGTTACTCTAGCAATTATTCTGTTATCTATTCTATTAATAGTGTTTCATTCACTTTATCAGCTCTATTCTCAGCTGATGACTAACTCTCCTATCCTGACCCCTAACAATGATATGATATCTCAACACGAGCAGAAATACATTGAGCCCCATTTGATCTAACAGTAGCAATCAGAACTAGTTTCAGGCTTTAGCATAGACTATACCATAGGCCCTTATGCTCTCTTCTTTATGACCAGATACACTAATATTATTATAACAAATGTCTTAACAACCTAAGTGCATTACATAATATAGGGTGGCCATAAAGTTCATGTGTAATTTAAAATAGTGTGCCATTTAAAACTGCACATGAACTTTATGGCCACTATGTGTGTTTGCAGGCGCATGTGTGTGCGTGCGTGCATATGTGTGTGTGTGTGTGTATATATATACATATATAAAGAAATCTTCTCAACTAGCTTCATAACCTAAACTTTACTATTAACCATGATATTTTTAAGTACAAGCATCTTACCCACAATTTCAATATGATCAGCTCACATACCTCTTATGGAAAAACTTTCTACCCCTAACACTAGCCCTATGTATATGATACATCTCACTTCCTATTTTCTTAGCCAGCATCCCCGCACAAATATAGAAATATGTCTGATAAAAGAATTACTTTCATAAAGTAATAGATGTGAAAATCCTCTATTTCTGGAATTACAGGAATTAAACCTACCCCTAAGAATTCATATTGTTCATGCTACTTAATACACCACATCCTATTAAAGTAAGGTCAACTAAATAAGCTATTCGGTCTATCCCCCTAAAATGTTGGTTTATACTCTTCTTGTATTAATTAACCCCCCTATTTTTTTTAGTTATCTTAACCCTCTTACTGGGCACTATATTCATGATAATTAGCTCCCACTGACTATTAATCTGAATGGGATTAAAAATTCATATATTAGCCAATATTACTATTCTGATCAAAAAGGCAAGAAGCCTTGATTCACAGAAGTTGCTACCAGATATTTTCTCATACAAGCAATGAGATGGGAGGAGAGGGAAGGGGAGGAGAGAAGAGGAGGAAGAGGGAGGGAAGAGGGCAAGAAGGGCATTGGTGGGATATTGCCAAAGGTGCACAATGCAAGGGTACATTCCAAAACAACTAAAGATAAATTATAAATGTCGTACCACAAAAAATAAGAAAAGTGATGGTTATGTTAATCAGTTTGATTTAAGCATTCCACATTATATATCAAATCACACTGTACCCCATAAATGTATACAGTTATGATTTAATAAAAAATGAAATTCAATTAAAAGAATAAAATATTCAGGACAATGAACAGTATCAAAAATCTGTAACCAAGTATCTTCTCTCATAATCTTACTTTTTAATTTAATTTTTATTACCTCCATTCATGTAAACATAAAAGATATAAAGTCTCTGTCCTTTTTATGGCTACATAATATTCCATAGAATACATATATCACAATTTGTTAATCCATTCACGAGTTTATGGACATTTGGCTGCTTCCATGACTTGGCAATTACAAACTAGGCCACAATGAACATTCTCGTGCAAATACCTTTGTTGTAAAATGATTTTTGATTACCTGGCTAGATATCTAGTAATGGAATTGCAGGATCAAATAGTAGGTCAACTTTTAGTACTTTGAGAATTCTCCATACTTCTTTCCATAAAGGATGTTTAGTTTACAATCCTACCAGCAGTCTCTACATCCACACCAACATCTGCAGTTTTGGGATTTTGTGATGGAGGCTAATCTTAACTGGAGTAAGGTAATATCTCAAAGTGGTTTTGATTTGCATTTCTCTGATGATTAGATGTTGAGCATTTTTTCATGTGTTTGTTGCCCATTCGCCTATCATATTCAGAAAAATTTCTGTTCAAGTCCCTTGCTCACAAGGAAATGGAGTTGTCTGTTATTATTGAGTTCTTGGTAGATTCTAGTTATTAGACCTTTATGGGAATCATAACCCGCAAAAATCTTCTCCCATTCCAAAGGCTGTTTGCTTTACTTGCAATGCCCTTAGTTGTGCAGAAGCTTTTTAGCTTGATCAGATCACAAGAATATACTTTTGGTGTTGCTTCAATTGCCAGGGGGCTCCTCCTCATAAAATTTTTTCCAGGCCAGTATCTTCAAGTGGTTTCCCTGCACTCTCTTCTAGTATTTTTAGTTTCATGTCTTAAGATTAAATCTCTTATCCAATGAGAATCAATTTATGTAAGTGCTAAAAGATGTGAGTTCAGTTTCAGTCTTCTACAGGTCACTAGCCAGTTCTCCCAGCACCATTTGTTAAATAGGGAATCTTTCCACCAATTCATGTTTTTGTTAAGCTTATCAAAGATCAAATGACAATTAAGTGGCTGGGTTCATCTTTAGATTCTCTATTCTATTCCATATATCTATAACTCTATTTCTGTGCCAGTACTAAGCTGTTTTGATCACGATAGATATGCAGTATAAACCGAAGTCGGGTAACGTGAAGCCTCCAGATTTGTTTTTATTTGTAAGTAATGTATTGGCTATCTGAGGTTTTTTTTAATAATTCTGCATAAAATGAAGTACTATTTTTTCCAGTTATTTAAAGTATGACATTAGTGCTTTGATAGCAATTGCATTAAATTTGTACATCGCTTGGGGGAGTATGGATATTTTAATAATGTCAATTCTTCCCAACCACGAGCATGGTATATTTTTCCATTTGTTAAGATGTTCTGCTATTTCTTTTCTCAGGGATTCATAATTCTCTTTATAGAGATCTTTCATATCCTTTGTTAGATAAATTCCCAGGTATTTCATCTTCTTTGGCACTACTAGAAAAGGAATGAAGTCCTTGACTATATTTTCAGCTTGACTATTATTACATATAAAAGCTGCTGATCTGTAAGTACTGATTTTGTATCCTGAGATACTGCTATATTCCTTGATCACTTCTAAGAGCTTTGTAATTGACTCCCTGGGGTTTTCCAGGTATAAGATCATGACATCCATGAAGAGTGAGAGTTTGATCTCTTCTGTCATCATTAGAATACCCTTGATCTCTTTCTCTTGCCTTTATTGCAGTGGCTAGGACTTCTAGTACTATGGTGAATAGCGGTGGTGACAATGGGCATTCTTGTCTAGTTTTAGATCTGAGTGGAAATGCTCTTACTTTTACTCCATTCAATATGATACTGGCTGTGGGTTTGCTATAGATGACCTCTATCTGTTTAAGAAGAATGCTGGATATTATCAAAAGCTTTTTCTACATCAATTGATAGAATCATATGGTCTTTGTTTTTTGTAGTAATCATTGAGGAGTTTTTGGATTTCTGTGGTATCTGCTGTTATTTTCCCGTTATCATTTCTGATTGTCATTATTAGAGATTTTGCTTTTCTATTTCTTGTTCTGATAGCCAAAGGTTTATCAATTTTATTAATCTTTTCAAAGAACTAACTTTTTGTTTTGTTGATCATCTGAATGATTCTTTTGTTTTCAATATCATTTAATTCTGCTCTAACTTCTAACCATTTAATTCTGGTTATTTCTTTTCTTCTGCTGGGTCTGGGATTGGATTGATCTTCCTTTTCCAGTTGCTTGAGATGACCCATTAGGTTGTTGACATTCTTTCTGTTTTCTTGATGAAGGCTTCTAATGCTATAAATTTCCCTCTTAGGACTGCCTTTGCAGTATTCCACAGGTCTTGATAATTTGTGTCTTCATTATCATTTTGTTACAAAAACCTGATGATTTCTTAATTTCATCTTTGACTCAGGTATCATTCAGCCTAAGGTTATTTAATTTCCATGACTTTGTTTGAGTTCAACTTTTATTCCATGATGATCCAAGAAGATACAGGAAATAATTTCAATCTTTTGAAATTTGTTGACATTAGAGTTGTGTCCTGAGAAATGATCAATTTTGAAGGATGATATGTGGGCTGATGAGAAGAATGTGCTTTCAGTTTTATTAGGATGAAATGTTCTATAAATGTATGTTTAGTCCATTTGTTCTAGGGTAAAGTTTAACACCACTATTTCTTTGTTTAGCTTCTTCCCAAAGGATCAATCCAGAACTGACAACAGGGTGCTTTTTTTTTTTTTTTTTTTTTGAGACAGTGTCTATGTTGCCCTTGGTAGAGTGCCATGGTGTCACAGCTCACAGCAACATCAAACTCTTAGGCTTAAGCAATTCTCTTGCCTCCGCCTCTCAAGTAGCTGGGACTAGGTGCCCACCACAATGCCTAGCTGCTTTTTTTTTTTCAGTTGTCATTGTTGTTTAGCCTGCCTGGGCTGGTTAGAACCCGCCACCCTTGGAGTATGTGGCTGGAGCCATAACTGCTGTGCTATGGTGCTGAGCTGACAAAGAAGTGTTAAAATCTCCAACTATTATGGTGCAGGAAGATATCAAATTATTCATATCTATTAGGGTTTGCTTTATAAATTGAGGAGCAATCAGGTGCATAAATGTTAATTATTGAAATCTCTTCATATTGAGTGTTTCCCTTGACAAATATGTAGTGTCTATCCTTATCCTTTCTTTATCTTTGTCACTTATAGGCAACAGATATCTGGGTTGAGTTATTGTATCCAGTCAGCCAACCTGTGCCTCTTTAGAGGACAATATAAGCCACTCAAATTAGTTGAGAGAATTGATAGGCATGGTAGTGTTTTGGGCGTCATGTTTTTCACATGTACAGTGGATATTTTTAATATTTTCACCATTGTGGAAGTTAGGTTTTATTTGATAAATTCTGGGGTTTACTTTGGTGGTAGACCATTGTGCTGGTCATTATGGAAAATGGGTCTGAGTATTTCTCCATCACAAATGAAACTCAGTTTAGCTGGATACAGGATCCTGGGCTGAAAGTTGTTTTGTTTTGAAAGACTGAAGGTTGATGACCATCCTCTTCTGGCTTGAAAAGTTTTAGCTGAAAGATCTGTAGTCATTCTAATATTTCT